ATACGCTGCAAGTGTCGGGCCGGTTGTCGTTCTTTGTGTGACATTACAACTAATTGCTATTGCATCGATTGTTTCGCCCTTGTGTTGAAGCCGACTTGCTAACGCGGCAGCGTTAATGAGCTCGTTTCCCAGCAATTCAGGCGTCGGTGGTTGTGAGCGCGAAATAGGCCATCTTTTTGCATGACCGGAAAATCAAGAAGGATGCAAGTAAAATGAATAATAAATATTTCCGGGTATGAGTGGGAGTCGAACCGGGGACGCTTGCGTGGCAAGCGTGTGTTATACTAAACAGCCGCGCCTCGTCTTGTTGAACGAGTGAAAATAACTTCCTCTGCTTGGAAATTCAGCGACAGTGACTCATGCTTTACAAACACGCGCATCCTGTGCACATGTTTCACCCTACAGTACAAAATACTGCCGCAATAATGCATGGGATAAACGTACATTGCCATCAGGCGTCGGAACATGCAATTATTACGACTTCGTAGTTTAAAACCAGCCAACCACTACAGAAGGCACACTGCACCCTTAAGGCCATGTAGTGGGTGCATAGCAAGTTCTAAACGATACACTCAGTGCTTCATACACTCAGTGCTTGAAGTATACGCACTAGGTACAGAATATCGCTATCGTGTTCAAGTTTTGAAGGCGCAGCCTAAGGGTCCCCCAATTTTTTTCCGATCTCTTTTTATTGTCTATGCCTTTATTTTTGCTTCTTAGTCTTTTTCTGTCTTCTATCTTTTTATGCCTTCATTCCCAATATTTCTTTGTCTTTTTTGTTTCTGTTGCTTTCTTTCTCTCTCTCTCATTAGTTATCCCCCTCTCTCCTTTTGGTTTCTTTTTATATCGATTTATCTCTCTTTCTCACTCTGTCGATTTCTCTCTCGCTCATACTTCACCAATCAGAATTTTCGTTTTACTCCCGCACCATGCAGCTGTACTCGCGTGTGGGGGACTCTGCCCAGTCCCTGTGGCGCACCCGCAACTGTAGTTTTCTGCGGACACCAAGACTTTTACGTCTCGTTTAAACAGATCCGCGGTTAAAGAATCATTGAACAGGGAATGTCTTTGGAAACGAAGTATCGACTAACAGACTTGTCTTGTCTCAAATGCTTCTCGAAAATCTGAAGTCATGTTTTTTTGCAACGGCTAAAAGCTATATAGCTTTCGGTGGGCTTTCAGCATTTGGCGCAGAGGCACTCTCTCTTGGTATTTATTTTACCTCTAGCTCTTCGAGCTAGCATTCACGAAAAACATTAGATGAGGTAGCTAGTTTCGTGCATTGAAGTTCGATCTTTCGGAGATATTTTAATTGATAAAAGATAAAGAATAGACCTTCTTCGAACAAGCAATTTTGTGCGCAAGCTTGCGATTGACAGAGAGGTCCTGCTATTTTAGTCCCGCATTCAGAGAGATCGAGTCGCGGCCTTTACGAGGCTTCATACGGCGAAGCTGCTTTTAGTATCCATGGAAGCCGCGTTATGGCAAATCCACTCGCGCAGCACGTATGACGGCGCAGGATCTATGACGTCAATGTGACGCTGGCTCACCGACTGGCGAAGAAGAAGTAATTGAACAAAAACAACAGTAAATAAATACTGCACAGTAACAACTTAAGCAAGAAAAGTGATTCATGAAAACGAAACAGCGTCTTCGTGACACGAAAAATGAACACACGCAAAAAGAACGTTGATAATACAGTTAAATTAGTCATGTGCCGAAATACTTACGGTGAAAGAGTGTTAAAATTTAGTGGTTATCTTGTAAAAAAACGTATTTCCCAATAGCATGAAGTTGAGTGATGATTGTTAACGATCATTTTAAACTTCCAATTTCCAACCTGTGAAGATAATCGAAATGTATGAAGAAAACACAAATTAACGCTTTCAATACTTTGCGTACACTATAGTGAATATCTTAAGTTCAGGAGAGAAGCATGAGCTAGCGTTTTTATATTTGATGCGATATATGAAAAGAGAGAAAAAATCACGGCGTCTCCGCGAAGTGAATGATTATGAGTAGGATCATTACGCGTTACCGTAAATCACCTGTGACATCGTCCGCTCACACATGTAAATTAGTGACAAAGTGGTGTACTGTTATACAATGTATATGGTATGCCGTATAGAGCTGCGGATTTAGTTTTGCCTTCACTATTACTGCTCCATGGCCCGTGAAACATAGAGTTAATGTTTCCGCTATCGGGTGTAGCCCGGAGTTGTCAAAACAAGGTATATGCATGTTCTCCTCCATGGTGGTTGGTTGTTTCCAGTCATTCGCAATGCATCGTAGAGTGTATCGAAACGTCATATACCGCACAAGACAGTTGTGGTCCATCATGTCAACGTCATAGTTTCTGATAAGTACGAAGGGGTTGCCCTAAGCTCGGTCAAAGAAATCATGCTTGAACCGTGAATCGGCGCCTCCCATCTCTGGTAGGTGACGCTTCCGTTTAGCCACTGCTTCCCGAGCTCTCGCTTCCGGGACAGACGCTTGATGTTGGCGTTGCTGTTGAGCCGCCACTTCCCGCGCCCACAACTCCGAGTCCTCTTGGCGTTCTTGTCGTTCTTCCGCTGCTTCCCGCGTTTTACGTTTGTTTTCATTCATGACATAAAGAGAATGTTCCATGATCGTCATCGTCATCGGGTACATTCTGTATGCTAACGCGCTTATTCTTCATCGTCATCAGCGTCATCATCATCGTCATGGCGTATAGTGAGTATACAACATACGACGCACAACGGACAAGCCTAAAACCTAAATTGCCTAGCCCATAAATTAGAGGAGAGGTCAAAACCCCCGCGGTAGCTTAATCACGTGAGGAGTCGCGCTGTAGAGCTCAAGGATGTGGGTTCGATTGCCGCACACGGCAGCTGAATTTCTATGAGGGTGAAATACAAACAAAGAAGTGTGCCTAGATTTAGGTGTAGATTAAAGAACACCTGGTGGTTGCCATTAATCCAGATTATGCCACTTATGCCGACCTCATAATAACACGGAAACACGCAGCACCTAAGGCGACACCCTTGTATCCCTTATTTAAATTTAGAAATCGACCATTGGCGCTGGCGTCCAGTGGCGTCGGCGACGAATGACACAAAAAGATCATCGTTACCCGATAACGCCACGACGACATGACACACAGCAGAATTTTGTGACGTCACGTGACAGAATAACCACGTCGCCTGACGTCGTAGCTTGGTCGGGGGCGGTCTGATCACGAAGGCAACACAAAATTAGGTGAGGTACGGCAGATCTTCGAGGCAGTGCAAAACGACCTTAGATGCAGAAAGCTTTCGAAGGGTGGTGGAGCATCATCAATGCGATCGGCTGAGAAGAAATGGAGATGGCATGCGCCGTCGAGCAATCTCCAGGGAATAAGTTAGGGATGTTGTGGGTCTTATCAAAGGAGTGGCGAAAGGCAGAAAGGTCAACCCGAAGATGATAAAGTTTAGTCCTCTACCGCAGACTCATGTGCTTGGGAGAAGGAGGGTAAAGATTGACATGGAGAAAGATTAAAATGATCGGAATGGTTCACTGTTCAGTAGGTCACTGTCACGACGCGATAACGCAGAAATCAATCCCAATGCAGGCTACAGCCGCTTGTGCATACCTGTTATTTTTACAAAGGTATATAAAGGACACGCACAGATAGTTACTGTGTGGGCTCCTCTATTCGATTCAAGTGCGTGATTAGCCTTGTGCAGTGATTCTGTATAGTATAGCCTTGTATTGTGATTCTGTCGTGCTAGGAAATAAAAAGTTTACGGAATCCGAGTGTATAAAAAGAAGGAGAGGCAACTCTCGTCTCGACAACTCGCGAAACATCTGGGTACGCGCAATCATAGCGTAGCTGCAGGTGAAGTGCACTATTGCCCAGAGATATGGCTGAAGGCAAAAAAATCGTATAGATCGGAAATCACCTTGGCACGAGTGAAACTTATCAGAGAAATATGTGCCAGTTTAATTCAAAGTTGAGTAGTTTCTATGGCCTATACCAGAGGTCGGCAACTTGCTGCCCGCGTGGCTGTATTATGCGGCCCCCGGCGCTGTATCAAAGCTCCTCTCCTTTTTCTATTGCCATATATACGAATGCGCACATGCCCTAAAATGGGATTTACGCTCGGTACAAAAACGCCTTTTCATCCAGTTTTTCAAATTATATATTGTCAATTCGCCGAGTTTTCACGCTTCGCCATCACATTCCCTTCTTCCTCCCGCCCCTTGAATGCTCTTTGTGGGCCCTGGCTGTGTCGGCTTCATACAAGCTGACCCTTCACCTCTAAAGGCTGCCGGCCGCTGGCATAGACTGCTTGTACAAGCGAATTGGATGACCAATGCAATTACGCAAACAATATGTACAAAAATGCAGGAGTCAGGGAAACATGGAAGCTTAGTTACGATAGAAAATTAGAACGTCGGCTACGGCACACAACGAAATGCCTACTAATTTACAAGGTATGCATAAGGCTGATGCGAAAAAAAAAATTCAAAACACACGCAACCCACATAACGCCGAATAATTTATCTCGTGCTCACAGCTGTGTGAAACCGCTGGTCATACTCAGCCCAGACAGAATGCCTTAAAAGCTCCTAAAGTGACACTGCCAGCAAAGAAAAAAAACCATAAAAAGAGAGTTCTGTAATTTGCTTTGTACGCTGATGCACGGCGTGTGAAAATGAAGTTCAACAAACTCATGTTAATCCTGTGCAATATTCCGCTTAGAAGCTGGTTGCGGTTTTTGCCGGCAGATTTTTGTCAAATTACAGTAAATTACACGATCAGAAAAATAAGTTGAACTTCATAGAAGACGAAGTCGGGGAGTACCTACAAATGAAGCTACACACGCAGCAAACTTTACTACGTCAAGAACAGCGATACATGCGTTTCTGTGTACCTCTTTTTTGTATGCGGGTTCTTGTTTAGCCTGCTACATGAGGTCAGGCTCTGCCGACTCGCTCAGTTCTTTGTGTTCACGAAGATGCCTTATCTGTCGCAGGCGGCACCGCGGGGCCCGGCGGTGGCGCTAGTGATCGCGCGAAAGCGGCTGGTTGCAGGACGGACACGTCGTCACACGAGGTGAGTGCATGCTGTCTATATATAGTCACAACACTTGGTTACAATCGTATATAGAGTTTCCTAAATATACACAAGAGGGAACTCTGGCACTAGTGTCTGTGGGAGCTGCAACGCAAGGTGCTTCAGCGAGCATGGGAATGATGGGTAGTAGACGGATTTGTCTAATATCCGTACTTCGTGCTCCGTGTGTGTTCGTGTGGCCTGGAGCCGTTTTCCCACGAAACAAACATCAGGTAATGTTCGGCGTTTACGCTTCACCACCTTATTCTTTTGGGCTTACCATTTCAAGTCGGGTCACGAAGTTTTAAAGGGTGTGCTCTTTCCTTCGAAACAAAACCGAAACACATGCAGTGGTAAACGAAGCCACAAGTGCGATTCACCGCCCGCAAGTGTATACGAAGACAATTCCGTGTACAATCATTCCAATGGTAGATGAACGATCACAGCGCCAGAGTTCCCTATAGTTAATATTGAGAAACTCCGTGGTTACAATCAAACAAAAAAATGTCAGCTACACCCAGTGCCTCCTTGGTCTCTCCAACAGAAATTTTGCACAAATGAGTTTAGAAAAAAAATGTTTAACGATTCAGAGTACTTAGTACTCAACTATGGGACAGCTGAAAGCCGTCCCGTCGGCCTCACCAATGTTCCGTGTAATAACGCCTAATAGCCTTTATGACGCCATGCTCGTCTCAAATTTGAAATAGCTGACTCTTCCATATACAGATACACAATTTTGCCCCAGGTTTTAGGTTGAAAACTTGAGAGTTGTGATAAATTTCGTCCGGTATGCTGACATTGCTGTTCATCAGTTGCCGACACGAGTACGCCTTCAGCGAATCATGCCTAGATCCACGCGCTCAAACACGTTACTACACCGACCACAAACTGTACCGCATATAAGTAACACCTACGTTCAACAATTTCAATGAAAACCAGCAGATAACGACGCCCAAGGAAAACACAGGGGGCGGTAATTGTATTGCTTTAGACGTATAGTTGTAATTGGTATGCAGATGGGAAGAGAGTAAACTGGACGAGAAGACAGTTTGCTGCCAGCAGAAGCCGAACCTATACGACCTTCGGATCCGAAGGTGTCAGATTAGGTCACTATACCGACGGCAAGTAGTCTTTGAGTCAACTTCACTTCCTTCACATCTGTATCACGATCGCTACGATTCACTTAAAACAGTGCAGTCAACGTCATCTATATTTAGCTCTGTTTTGTCATCTGCTGGTTTTAATTAAAGTTATGCAAAACATAGAAACGTGGCCTCATAACGCCCTTGTGAAATGTTATTGTGGTATCGGGGTTTCGGTTCCGGTTTCGGAACCGGTTCTCTGGCGCCCAGGGGGCGTTGTACATATGTATTTAATAGCATGCTTGTGCACATGAAGGAGCTCCTGCTTGGCTACCGGCTGCTGCGTACCTCGTCGCCAAATAGTGATTTAGGGCATCAGCATAGACGAAGTTAGTGGAGGTGTCTTGAGCCAATGCAGGTTTGCAAGGATTGGCTACTTTGTGCCGAATCAGTTAATTTTCTAAGCCAGTGGTGGCAAAAAAAAAACACCTTAGCTGAGTAGCTACTTCGTAACTACTTTTATGTTCCCTCGACAAAAGCCGAATTAAGAGTATCTGGTGACACCGCAGGCACTGTCATTCGGGTGTGTGGTGACAAAATGACAAAACATTGCGCCGAATGTGTGTTATCTGCTCCCAAGACTGAATTTGAAACAAATGCTTTGGAAATCAGACAAAACTGTCGCGAACAGCCAGAATTTTAACACCGCCTATTGCTTAATGAGACTCTGAACCAAAGCTGGAAGGGCGTTCTGCGTGCGACCATTGGAAATCGATGTCCGACAACAAACTCCTTGTCATTTCTAAGACGCGGACTGCCATTCAGGAAAGTGAACTACTAGGATTTCGTCATCACGCAAGAAATGCCCGTGAAACTGAGCAGTGGGAAATGCGCATCGGCTATCTCTAGGTAGCGCCGCAGCGTTGCGCCTGGCTCGCTGTTCATGAAAGGTAGCTCACGCTTTGCCCTAGGTACTGGTTCCGGGCTGCCCTGATGGATGGACGCCATACCGGGTAGCGTGGTCGAGCAGCTATCGGCCGAAGCGAGTGGCAGCGTCCATACAGATAGCCGGTGCGCGAGGTTCCCACAAAATGACTAATACTATAAGCTTTATGGCTGATGCACAGAAACTTATTTTTGGCACACTCAAGCTGTAGTCCTTTTTGTTGCCAGCCAAAGCACTGTTTCTTCCATAACTTTTTCAGAAAGCTAACGCAGAATGAGAATGCCACTTTTACAAAAGTGGAGGACGCTTCACAATGCTGAACCAAATGACTGTCGACGCAAATAATTAATGCCTAAATCATGAAAGGTGTTATTTATTAAAGTGTTCCCACACTACTTATTTGTATTCCAGAAAAAAAGGGGGGAGGGGGCTCTTGAATTCAGCTCTTTACGTAACAACATCGCAGTCTTTTTTACACACGCGGGGCTACCTTTGGCTACTTTTACTGTCCATGGCTACAGTTGGCTGCCTTTTGGATAGTTTTTTTTTTATTTTAGGGGCGAAGCTCGTCTTAGTCTGACCTTGTCATGCGTCACGCGTAACCGAGAAAAGAAGAGACGAGAAAGAAAAGAAGGCAGTACCTCCCCGAACAGTATATTAGACGGCGCTGTCTCATAGAAGTACATACAAACTGCAGTTAAGTGAGGATATTCTAGGTGGCGCTCTAGCGCTACTCTCCTATTGGCTGCTGCGAGGGCTGTGCCGGGGTGCGCGGAGAACGAGTGCCTCTGTCAGTTTCCTGGATAGTCACCGTACGTAGCAGATCGTTGGTAGGGCATGGACGAAGCAGAGCGGCGGGCGCGTTGAAGACGCTTGCGCTCGGCTTCCTTAGCTTACGTCTTGTCGGTGTTACCCACGCGCCGTCTGCATTCTCAAACGCGATCGGACGCACGCAAGCACGGATGAATTGACGGACAAACGCTTCGCCCCACTCATCATCATTCACTCCGTGTATATGGTGTGATTTTCTTTCGACCTGGCAACCCTGTTTACCAATGCACCCTCCACGATGGATGTGTGTGAGAGATGAAAAGCTGCAGTAACAACCCTGTGGATATATCTCGTATAGCGTTGTTGAGCTCAAAATCAAGGAGTCCATCACCAACGCAGCTACCGCATTTTAATAGGATCTAAACAGATAAGGGAAAAGACCCCTTGCCGGTAGCGTAATTGAGTAAGCAGTAACGTTTTCAGCTATGTTGAGTAGAAAGCATTAGGAGTCCAAACGACCCATTCTCTTTCATGGTGCCGTCCATCAAGCCCTTCCTGATGCAGAATTTGCAGTATTGGTTTATCGAAATTGTCGTCAACGTTTGAACATAATTTAAAGAGCAAAACAATTTTTTGCTGATTAGTAAAGTGCAATTTCACAATTCCGAAAACACCGCTATTACCGCGACATGACGCTTAATAAGTGAATAAACACACGAAAAAAAATGCTGGTGGCGATGCCACCTTGAGATTCCCGCACCAAGCACTCTGACGTAAGAAGTTTCGAACCCTTCTACTGGGTCCTACGCAGCTTCCAATAGATGAAAATGAAGTACATTGTAATCTATGAGTGCTATAAAGTTAGCATACGAAGTTTCGAGAAAATTTCATCGAGCCAATGCCACGAAAGTCCTGAATATACATTTTGAAACTTCTGGCGTCACGCGCGGAGATTTTGGCGCCAAATTTAAAACCAACACTTCATCTTTGGTTTTCTCCACTAGTAGCGAACTTGTGAATGTGAAACGTAAGGCATTAGAGTTCTCGTAGTGCAGTTTGTTAATTCAAATCAAGCCATTGTTTCTGTTTAGTGTCCATTTAAGAAGAGTAAATAATTGCATAACCACGAACAGTTTTTTTTTTCAAGATGAGAAGGCTGGTCGTTTTCTTAAAAGCGCTCAAGTCAAATTGCATCAAAATTTTGCCAATAGAGTGAAAGTAGGGGCACAGATGTCTAATTTATTATCAGTGATTGAAAAAGAAAAGAAGACAGACCAAAAGTAAAACTGACGGTAACCAACACACGTGAAGCTCACGCACGTAAATTTCTGGATCAGAAAAAAAAAGAAGAGAGAAAGTGGGAGTCCAAAAATACGCACATATGTTGACGGTTTTAGAGTCGGGCTGGTTAAAGTGCACAGCTCATAGATGCTTGGTTCACGTGCAGTCTATTGTTGAAACAAAATAATACATCTCAGACTTGACTTATTCATGTATAAAAGTGCGTGATGACATTGGAGCGTATAGTCTTGCGAGCATCAGAGAACAGAGACGAGGCACAACTTGAGCGGTTCTGCTGGAAGAGGGAACGATTTCGCAGATATTGAGCTTCTATTTCTGCACTAGGCGCATGCAGCTATCTTTAGTTAGACATGCGTCAGACCTATAGCATCGTCACTGGCAAAGTTAAACGAAACTATAATGCTAAAACGGGACATTATTTTGCGTACACGTCGATCCACATAAGTGCCGAGGGGCAGGAACAGAATGGGTTCATATCTCTGGAACAGGAAATTGCGATCGTTTTCTCCTAAACTAAAACCTTTGCTTTCTACTCCGCGTTTATGAAACAAACAAAAGAAAAAAAATGCGCCGAATGAGGCCTGTATTTTTTACAGTGTAGATGACTTTTCTGGATATAAATATAAAGCTGTATACTTGTCTCAATGGAGGCAATCGGCTGCCATCCCTGATGATAGTAAACTTCTTGCGTACGTTCACCTTCTCTGTGTTACTTTATTGTCTCTTAACACCTCTAAACAGCGGTGGTGTTTCTAAAGTAGCCAACTATGGAGGAGAGAGGAAGGCAGCACGGCTAAAAATGAAGAAGCGCTTCGCAAAGAAAGCCGAAGGCACTAAGCCGCGAAGGGTGAAAAAAATAATAAAAAAAGACAGTACGAGTTTTTTTTTCACGCCCCGGT